TTTCATAAAAATTATAAATTTTAAAATTTGAACAGACATTGACTTAATTTTTAATAAAAAATAGAACCCAAACTATTATAAGTAAACCTAAGCAATTAGAAACCTATGAGGAGACGAAACCAGAAAGCAGACCTAATGTACTAAGAGTTATTTGCACTGATGAAGTACGAAATTGAAAATTAAGAAAAGTCACAATTAAGTGAAAATTTGAAAAAGAAAAAGGAATAAAATAAAAAGGGAAAAATATAAAGGAAAAGAAATAATTGAGGTTATGAAATGATCATTTAAATAAATTAAGAATTTTGGAATAAGAGGGTAAGATTGAATAGGTTAGGAACCCTAAATACCTTCTCGTTTAGTTTGAATCGAGAAGGGGAGTGTCTGTATGTTACTTAAGTTTAGCAAACATGGTGAACTTATACATGGATAGAGTCTGAAACCTAATCTAGATGTGAATAGACATTTGTAAGTGTAAGTCACCTAGCAAATGTATATGTTGTGACCATTGTAAGATTTTTGTGTGTGTGTTATCCATGTGATGAGAGGATCTATTTTGCCTTTCTTCGACGATGACGTAAACGACATCGCACGATGAAACTATGAAATAACCTTTTAAGTGTATATATGATCTTTTGTGTGTGTGTGTGATTATATCTCGAAATGATGATTGATATTCGAGTGTATCGAGAGTATGAGAATATACATTTGAGGTTTGTATATGATATTCGAGAAAATTCATAAGATCGATCAGAAAAATATGAAATAGTGAAAATAAGAACAAGAATTTGGCACTGAAATATTTTTATTTATTTTTTCTTTTCATGTATTTTGCATAAAATTTTATCTAGATTGAGAATGCTTATTGAATTGGTAAAATTCATTAATTTCACCCTGATATTTTTCAGAGAAAAATGAATAGGCAGCACCATTACTAGACAAGTAGAACCTGTAAAAAAGTTCTTATACTTATATATTTTGTGTATATTCGAAAAGTTTTGTTTTATTTTATTAGATTTTAAATTCTGACATCATATTTTGTATATATAATTACTGTACATATCATATAAGATGTTAGATTGTATTATATTTTTTGATCTATACATGTATATATTTTATGGGCTCATTGCATGAAAATGACATAAGCAAGAATTGCGACTCATTTCGAGTATCAGAGTGTGACAATAAATAACTTATATTCTTTAGTGACATTTGTAGTTTTAAATAATATATATTATATATTATATTTATTTATACTTATTTTGTTATTATGAGTTTCAAATTCTATTAATATATATCTATATATATATATTGAGAACATAAAAATGTTGCCATGCAAACATAAATATTTGATGTTTTATTAAATTTTACTTCAAGAAATAGAATTATTGTTTTATTTACTTTCTCGACTTAATTATCTTAAGAATTTCACCTATTGTAATTTTATGAATTATTATATATTTTTTTGTAAATTTCTTAACTATATAAAGAGAATGTTGTTGTGTTTACTTATTATAGAAATTAATGGGTTAAGATTTTAAGTTATTTTAAATAAAATAACAAAAAAGTCAATTTATGAATAGTGACAAATTATCATCTCTCTATATTGCTATCCAAAATTTGTAATCATACTAATAAGATTTAAACATTATGCATTGTAACTCTACCAATATAGATTAAACATTAGTTGATAATTTATAATACTATCAATGAATTAAACATTGAAAATTATGATTCTACCAACAAAAATTAAACATTAATTAGGTTAATATTAGTACGATAAGAACTAATTCCGATAATGAGCTGTCGGTAATAGAATAAAGTGTTATTTGTGATTTTTTAATTGTTTAACTAAAGTTAAGTGTGACCTTAATTTATATTCAACAAGATTTTCTATATACAGATAATGTTGTCATTCCGTATTCAAGTACATGAAGAATCCGTGATAAGTATGTGTGCCTATGTATAATATATGTTAACTGATTGATTATCTATAATAGTGATGAATTATACAACAAAATAATTATGAATCTATTTTTTGATTTGTGCATTCGTCTTTTGATTCGTATATCTGTTTTTAAAAAGATTATGACATATGTTGTTATGTGTAAAAAAAACTATATATTACATGTAGTATGCTATGATTCCATAACATCGTTTATTGAAATATTTTATTTCATCTCCCTATCATCCTTCAGATATCGAAGATACCATTACAGATTACAGAGTGAGCGATGATATAAAGAAAAATTTTGAAGCTAGGTTCTGAGATTAAAGATTCTATCTCATGCTTTTGTTTAATAATATAAATAAAAAAATTTAAAATCTCGTACACATATTTATGTTTTACATTTAAGAGATGTATGTAACATTTTTGTGACTATGTTATGATCAATAAAGATAAACTATTTTGCTTAATTCGAATTTATATGATTTAAGTAAATATGATCCAATCATTACCCTATAAAACATGATATAATCCATGACATA